TCAGGACCTCTAACCACTCTTGGTCTCCTTTCTAGGTGTTGGGAGTTTTTGTTTGTTTGTTTTTTAATGATTTTTAACCCACATTTACATGAATTTATATAATACATGTATGTATATATGTATTGCAAGCCAGGATCAGAAGTTCAAGGTCATCCTTGGCTACATGGTAAGTTCCAGAAGAGCCTGGACTTCCTGAGCTCCTGTCTCAGTGCAGGAAGGGGCGTGACGATGTCTCAGTGCAGGAAGGGGCTTGTTACTAAGGCTGACAGCCCCAGTCCTAAGTTTGATCTCAGACCCTACCTGTTGGAAGGAGAGAACTGATTCCCGAAAATTGTCCTCTGACCTCCACACCTGTGTGCACACACACCCTAATAGATAAGTAATGTAATCGCTAAATTTAATTTTAATTTTTTTGTTTGTTTTTGTTTTTCAAGACAGGGTTTCTCTGTGTAGTTTTGGTGCCTGTCCTGGATCTCGTTCTGTAGCCCAGGCTGGCCTCGAACTCACAGAGATCCGCCTGGCTCTGCCTCCCGAGTGCTGGGATTAAAGGCGTGCGCCACCACGGCCCAGCCTAAATTTAATTTTAAAAATCTCCAGGAGGTAGAAAAAACTATATATAGTTTTAATGTATATATGTATATACTTTATATATTTATACATATATGTATATATGTGCGTGTGTGTGTATGTGTGTGTCTGTGTGTACACACACACACACACACACACACACACACACACTCATACATTTGAGGCCTAGAGGTGCAGACCTACAACCCCAGCTACTTAGAAGGATAAGACAGGAGAAGCTCAGGTTCCAGGTCAGTCAGAACTACAGAGTGAGTTCAAGGCCAGCCTGGGCAACCTAGGGAGACAATCTCAAAATCCAAAGAAAAAAAAGGACCAGGTATGGAACTCAGTGTTGATGTTGGGTAACAGCCTTAGGTCATGAGGAACTGAGTCAGGCTATGCAGGGCAATAACCCCTAGCCATAAAGAATGGATTAGCCCCAGCTTGCCTGTTCTGCTCCACCTGCACAAACAATATGCCCACGTATGGAAAAGAACCCACCCTGCTCTTCTTGAAATCACAAAAAAAATAGCTGTAACTTCCTGGTAACTACTCATGTATGTGTGTATGTGTATACACCTGCCTCTCAGGTCCTCTAAATGAGCTCCACCTTCATCCTGCAGGAAGGCTGAGGCCCTCACTGTTCCAATAAAGCGACTTAGCCTGTTGAGATGGAGCCTGTTTGCCTCATTTTTTTTTTTTATAACAACAAACTTTCCATGATCGACACAGAGAGACCTTCCCCAAGAAGCACCCCCCAGGCTTCTTGCCTCTACCTCCCAAATGCTGGGGTAACAGGCTTGCACCACCACACCCAACTTGTTTTTATGGTGTGTGTGTGTGTGTGTGTGTGTGTGTGTGTGTGTGTGTGTGTGATGCACGTGTGAACATGCCTGTGTGCAAAGTCCAAATGAGGACATCTGACATCCTCTATCACTTTCTGCCTCATTCCTTCCAAGAAAGGTCTTCCTGAATTCATAGCTTGCATTTTCAGTTAGTCTGGCATCCAGAAAGTCCCATAGATCCTCCCGTCTCTGTCCCCCAAACATTGGTGTTGTAGGCATGTGAGCGACCATGCCTAGCTTGTTACATGGCTGCTAAGACCTGAACGTCAGGTCCCCACGGTTGTGCAGCGACACTCCTAACCACTGAGCCATCTTTCCAGCTCCCTTCTGGGGTTTTGTTCTGTTTTGATGTGGCTTTTGTTTTTGTTTTGAGAAGGGCCACTATGTAGTCTTGGCTGCCCTTGAACTCACAGAGATCCCCCTGTGTCTGCCTCCACAGTGCTAGGATTAATGGAGTACACCACCATCCTAGCTTGTTGGGGTTTTATTTGTTTGTTTTGACATGTTTTCATATAGCCCAAGCTGTACTAAGATTCAGGCTAGTCTTGAATTCCTCTTCTCCTGCCTCAGCCTCCCATGTTCTGGGACAACAGGTATGAGCCATCATACCAGGCTTTATTTGTTTCTTGGGGGTTTTTTGTGTTTTGTTTTTTGAGACAGGGTTTCTGTCTGTAACCCTGGCTGTCCTGGACCTCCCTTAGTAGACCATGCTGGCCTCAAACTCAGAATCACTTACCTTTGCCTCCTGAATGCTGGGATTAAAGGCATGTGCCACTACTGCCTGCCTTTTTAAAAAAAAATAAGGTTTTTTTTATTATTTTTAATTATGTGTAGATGTGCATATCTGCACATGGATATGTTCACATGAGTTCTGGTGCCTGAGGAGGTCACAAGCAATGAGTCCCCTGGAGCTGGAGTTATAGAAGGTCATGAGGTCCCCGATTGGGTGCTGGGAACAGAGCTCAAATGCTCAACCACTGAGCTACCCCTTCAGTCCCTCTTCATTTTAGGCGGGCCTCACTCTGTGGTCCAGGATGGCCTCAAATTTATTCTTCCAGGTTCAACCTCCTAAATGCTCGTTATAAGTATGGCTCACCATGCCCACCGGTCCTTGGCTTTTTGGACAGACCATAAGCCATAGGAGGGGAGAACTTAGCCTGTTCACTTGCCAGTGTGGTCCCAAAGCCGACACACAGTGTCTTTAGTCATAAACTGGTGACAAGTAAACTCCGTGGAGCCCAGCAACCTCTCTAAACATTAGAAGAACCTTCCCCTGTGACCCTAGACAGCATACCCAAGAGAAGATAAGTGAGTGTCAAACTTGGGCTGGATGTTAGGAAATGCTTCTAACAACATCCACTGCCTTGGCTGAGAGCACGAGGCAGTGGCGACTGGGTTTGCAGGAAGCCTGGTGAGCTCTGTGAGACACAGGCTGAAGAAAGACTCCAACCCAACCTGAGGTTCTGCATCCCTGCCGTCCCAGGCCAGCGGGGCAGTTAAGGAAGTCACAAGGGTGCCTTAGTCGTGGGAGGAGGGGAAGGGGTGTTTTTTTCCACTCCAGGAACTTGCTTCTGATTCAGGCTGGTGGAACGGAGCTGGTCTAATTCAGTTCCCATGTCCCCATCTGCCTGCCTCTTTCCAGGCCTGAGATGCCATGTGACCGGCACTAGTGACACCTGGTGGCCAGTTAAACTAAAAGCCAGCTGGTCAGGTTTGTACCTCAGGACCTAGTACAATGTCTGGCATAGAGAAGACCCTCTCTTTTGAGGGGTAAAAGAATGACTGAACATAGACTGTAGAGAGGAGGGGGGTGCTGTGTCCACATGCTGGAGGCCCACCAGGGGACCAATCAGGACCCCTAGAAGGGCCAGACAATTCACCTGCTCAGCATGAGCACAGAGGGGAGCCTCCAGTGGTTCTCTCCTGCCCCTCTTCTGCGCCTGTCCTGTGCTCCAGGGACACCTGTGAGGCAGGGCAAAGAGCTATTTGAGGAAAGGACGAGTTAATTAAAGCTGCACCTGCCTCTGGGCTCGATCACGCCCAGGAGCTATGAATAGAGCCCAGTGGGTTGGGATGGGAATGCTTGAGCAACGCTCCTTCCAGAAAGAGACTCTGGGGTGTAGTTCTGTCATAGGGTATGTGCTCAGCATGCATGAGTCCTCACCAAAGGAATGGGGGGAAGCAAGAGGAGGGGAGGGAGGGAGGGAGGAAGAAGAGAGGGCTCTGAAGCTCAGAGAAGGCCGAAACTTAACTTTCCACAGCCAGACTGCCTCGGAGTCAGGGTTCCCAGTACTAGTTCCTTGAGCCGTAGCATTTGAGTCCCTAAGACAGAAACACAGACAAAAAGAGCCCAGCGGAACAAGCAAGGCCCCTTGGCCTGCCAGGCCGGAGGTGTTACATCTACCGTGAACTCCGAAGCACACCCCTGCCCTTCAACCAAACAACTATTGTCTGCCCTAAACTGAGTGTGGATCCCCACTCAACCCACCTACATCCCTTTCCTTAAATACTCTGCTTTATAGACATCTCTGGTTTGCCAGAACTGGTTTGCCCTCTCAGAACCGTTTCCTTGACCACAAAAGATTGCTGGAAGTGTGTAAGAAACTAAATGCCAAGTGCTGAGAAGTGTTTGGTACATGATAAACATCTAGTATGATCTGTAACTACCCAGTACTTGAAAAGCTGAGGTAAGGGAATTGTTGCCACAAGCTCAAGACCAGCCTGGGCTATGTAGTGAGTTCCAGGATGGCCTGAGCTGGGCTACAGAGTGAGACCCCCCTACAGAGTCGGGGAGGCTGGGGAGTTAGCTCAGTTGAGTGTTCTCCCAGCATGCATGAAGCCCTGGGTTCAATCACTAGGGTGTGGCAGTGCTACACTGTAATCTCAGGATTTGAGAGATGGAGACAGGAGGACCAGAAATTTAAGGTCATCCTTGGCTACATAGGAAATTCAAGGCTAGCCTAGGCTACGTGAGATCTTGCTCCCCAAAAGCAAAAATAACAAACAACCCTGTTACTGGTATTGCTGTCCTCTTTAAGGCCCAATTCAAATCTTGCCCATAATCCTCAACTAAATGGTGACATCCTTAAAGACAGAGGCGAAGGAAGGCTTAGGACATAGCAGTAGTCTGTCTTATCTTCACACAGCATCTACGGACTTGTTACTCTTGGCAACAACAGGCCTATGGGCTGGGCAGATTCTGGCTCTTACCTGAGCCTGGCTTTTAGCTTTCACTCCTCCAGGCTATACTGAGTGATTTATCTGGACTAGGTTTGATTTTTCTCTGATAGATCAAAAACCAGAGACAAGGTGCTGCTGGAGTACAAAGAAACCATCTCCAATTGCCTAGACTCCAAACCCCTAGTACGGGAGGATAAAGCGTTGATGTCACGGAGAAGAGAGTGGAATCGTGGGCCTAAGCTGTCCTAGGCATCCTTAGAAGGAAGTGTATCCCCAAACTCGACCCCTGTGAATGATAGCTGAGGGAAACTGTTGAGAGTCCATTATCCACAAATCACTGTCTCACCTCCGGTACCAGGTCCTCATATGTATTGCTTTAAGCTTAGAATATGCCCAGATAATCATTCGTTCCATCTCAACAAGGATTTATTGAGTCCCTTCTCTGTGGCAGGCACCTCACTCTGTATACAAGACAATCCCAGTGCCGCCATTAAGAGTGCACATTCTAGAGACAGAAAGATTAGACGTTATCTCAAGATGGAGAAGAAAGGAATATAGAGCAATGATTTCCTAAGTACAGAATCTCTGTTTTGTGTGATGGAAAAGCCCCACAAACGGACAGAAGTATCAGGACATACTATCGTGAATGTAATAAATCAATACAATTAATGTAATTAATGAATATCATAAATATAGTTATTGAATAAAAAAAAGAGTGCACATTCTAGTTGGGCAGAAAAGCTGACAGATAAAATTTTACCTACTGAGCACTGCTCTAGGAGCAAGCCCAGGACTTCAAGAGAGCAGGATGGGGCTGACCTTTCAACCCAATTTAAAGGAACAGCTGAGTCCTTTGGAAAAGGCAACCTGCATACAGTTAGGAGAGCCTTGGTGTTCTCAAGCCCCCGCAAAAGGCTCTGCACCATGGCAACCTGTTTGCAAACATGTTTGGTGGGTGTGGGTTAGCGACCCAGAACCTGCACACTTAACAAACCCCAATAGTGGGTTTGGTGCAAGTGAAGACGGCGGCGGCGCGTCCACAATTGAAGGAGAGATGGGATGTGAGTTCCAGGGGCCTGGTGGGTGAAAAGCTGGGAGGTCTGATGCGGGTGTTTGATCTTTGTATCACAGGAGACTCCCAGAGCGTTGTCCCCAAGAACAAGAGAATCTTTACAAAGATTTCTCCTCCAGCTGCTGGACAAGAAATAGCGAAGCGAACCCGATGGCTAGCTGAACAACACCCATCCCGGTGATCCAGGCAATTGCCAGAGGACACTGGATGATGAGGATGGTACTGCAAGGTTCTTGGTAACATCCTGTCGGACGTCCAATACCCCAACTTGGGAGGCTCTACACTTGGTGTGGTCAGAGTTCCCTAAAGGACATTACCCAGATAGGCGGAGTCCCCAAAGGTGTTTATCCCTCCCTCTGCCCTTTGGTAAATTGTGCCCACCGCTCGCCTTCCCGGCATGCCTCCCGGGAGTGACCTCATCGGCTCGGTGCTGACTCCTGGGCTTCGCTAGATGGCGCTGCTCTTCGCCCGCTGTAGCTCTCAGCTGGTGCCAGGGCGGTCACCCCGCACCATCTCCGCTGATCACTGCTGGCTGCTCCCAGCTCACACATCTGCTTTTCCACGCTTCCCTCCGGCGTCCAAATCAAGAGCCTGGGCTTCATACCGCATCCTTGCGAGCATTTATCCTCAAATGGACAAGCAGGCAGACGCAGCCGTGGAGTCTGTTGCCCTGTTTCGGAATAGTCTCGGAGCTCTTGGTCCTGGCGGACAGTCTCCAGCTGCGACTCGAGGAGACTGTCTTCCAGTGCCTTGGTTTACCTTAAAATGAGATGGAAATAAATAAAACTATCTTAAAATACTGTTAATGGTGGTAGGGCATGGGGCTGCCCCACGCAGCAACCTGAGGTGGTGGTGGTGGTGGTGGTGGTAGTGTGTGATGCTTATGTGTGCATTACTTACCTGTGTGTGCACATATAGAAGCCAGAGGTCGACTTCGGGCGTCGCCTATCGCTCTTTGTCTTATTTAGTATGTGCACATGGGTGCAGATGCCCGCAGAAGCCAGAGACATTGAGTCCCTCTGAAGTTACAGTTACAACCAAGTGTGAACCACCGGCTTGGGGATACGGAACCGAACTCCGACTCTTTGAAACAGCAAGATGTGTTCCTAACCACTGAACAATCTCTCCAGCTTCTCATCTTAATTGAGATGGGGATGTCTCATTTAAACCAGAACTTGCCATTTCAGCTGGACTAGGGGGCCATTAAGACCTGCTGACATCTGTCTTTCTCTGCCCCAGCTCTGAGGTTGCCCCAATTTTACTAGGTGCTGAGGATCAAAACTCAGGTCCCCATGCTTGCTCAGCAAGGACTTTACCATGAACCGTCTCTTTGGCCCATGAGTTCAGAGACTTACACTCTAAGATTTTATTTTTATTTATTTATTTATTTATTTATTTAAACAGAGTCTCACTATGTAACTCTGACTGGTCTGGTACTCACAGAGGCCTGCCTGATTCTGCCTCCCAAGTGTTAGAATCAAAGATGTGCTGGCCGCCTTGCCTGGCAGAAGATGGGATTCAGATTCTCTCTCTCTCTCTCTCTCTCTCTCTCTCTCTCTCTCTCTCTCTCTCTCTGTGTGTGTGTGTCACACCACCTGTGATCAGGTTCCTAAGACTCTCAGAAGGTGTTCAATACTCTGGAGTTGGAGCTATAGGCTTCAGTGAGCTTCCTGACGTGAGTGCTGAGAACAAAACTTCATTCCTCTGAGAGAGCAGTAAGTCTAACTGCTGAGACACCTCTCTAGCCCCAGAAGCCAGGATTCTGAACATCGCTGTCAAAAAGGATTTCAGGGGCACTGGAGAGATGACTCAGAGGTTAAGGAGCACTAGCTGTTCTCCCAGAGGTCCTGAGTTCAATAAATAAATACACCTTTAAAAAAAGATTTATTTATGTATTATGTATACATTGTTCTGCCTTCCTGTATCCCTGCAGGCCAGAAGAGGGCACCAGATCTCATTACAGATGGTTGTGAGCCACCATGTGGTTGCCAGGAATTGAACTCAGGACCTCTGGGAGAGGAGCTAGTGGGATTAAAAGTGTGAGCCACCATTGTCCAGAAAGAAGAGATTTTTTTTTAAAAAAGATGTTGGCATGGATTCAATAAAGCGGTGCTCGGGGAAAGGATAAGACCCAACACGGGTATGGGCTTCTCAGGGAGAAACATGCTTAAGAGGCTCACAGCGGCCATATGTAAGGGGTTGCTAAAAAACGTTCTTTCCTATCTTCTGCTTTTTCAACACATGAGATGATAGGGTGGCTTTGGTGATGCCTTGGATAGAATTATGGTGTGCTAGGATAAAACCATGGGTCACAGGCTTGCACGTGGGGGTGAAGAGGTAGCATTACTGTGAACGGGAAATTCATAGAGAACTGCAGGTTTGCTGAATGCGGCGGCGCACGCTTTTACTCCCAGCACTCAGGAGGCAGACGCAAATGGATCTCTGTGAGTTTGAGACCAGCCTACATAGTGAGTTCCAGGAGAACCAGGGCTGTACAGAGAGACCCTGTCTCGACACCACCAAGCCCAAACAAACAAACAAGAAAGAAACCCTGCAGGTTTATAGCTAGGGAAGGAGAAAGAGCACATACACTTAGGTGTCAAGTGTAGTTCATTGCTATTTTAGCATTCTGTTTTTGTATGTGTACTTGGGATTAAACCCAGGGCCTCTCACATCCTAAGTATGTGCTCTGTCACTGAGCTAAGGGCCTACTTTTAGGAATTAAAGGTACTACTTCTGGGTAGGGTGGGTGTGGGGCGTTTACCCACCAACCCCACAGCTCCCCAGAGTTTTCTTGAGTGTGAGCAGCAGGAAATATTAGATAGAAGGATTTATTGAGAAGAATCTTGCGGAGATAAACAGATAGAAAAGAAAGGATAGCCTCGAGAGGGCCTGGAACCTTTTTCCAACGGGCCCGACTGTCTCTGCCCCAGGGTTTTTATAGAGACGCCCAGGGGTGGAGCAAAAGACCTCCTCCCCCAGCACAGCCAAGTGCAGACCATCTCAGACACCTGCACTCAGGCCCGTGGTCCTAATCATCCTCTATGTGAACCTGCTGGGTAAAGTCACGAGGAACCCGAGAACAGGCTCCCACAGGTGGGTCAGTGCAAGGTGGTTGGATATCTGTTATCTGGGATACTGGGAAGGAATGGAGGAGAAAAGTAACACGCACTTCCCTAGGGTGCTCAGGCTTTGACGAGGCTCTCTCCGAGGATGGGACTGAGTCAGGTATCCTGGGAAAACTGACTTGCAGGCTCTCTCAGGCAATCGCCGCAAACTCATTTAATAAGCATGTCCAGCTGTGGAAATGGGTGCTATTGGTGCTCTGTCATCTGGTGCCCTGAAAACCAGAGGAAGATTAACATCTGGCCAGCCAGATATAGGCAATGCAGGCTGATGGAGCATCTAGGCACAGAGACCCCACAAGGACTGAGTCTAGAGCCCAGCAATACCTACCTGTAAGTAATCTACTCTGCCCATGCCATGACAGTGTCCTTCCAAATCATCAAAGTCTCCACTCCACTGGGCTTGTTTTTGGGTTCTCATAACAGAGAAATGGTACCCCAAGGTTTTCTGCCAGGATGCTGCAGTGTTTATTATTTATGTTGATAGTAGTTTAACAAATTCACACCCAAAGACTGATCCCCTAGCACAGGGTACATTGCCTTATATCCCTTTTTGCTATTTTCCTTTTACATTTTAGCCCGCTTTTCTCCCTTACATGGTAACATACATCCCGACTGGGTGCTCTGTGTTAAATGGTTGTGACAGTTACGCACGCACACACAGATACTGATTTGCCATGGTGCCGGCCCTTTTTCCTAGAAGGGCCCTTATCACAGGCTAAATTCCTAGAGGCGAGGGACACAGAATGTGGACGGCCTTCTCTGCTTTCGCAGCCCTTCCCCAGTACTCAGCGACACGGGAACCAGACAGCCAGACTTGGGCAGAGCAATGATGAGAGAGAGATGGCCAGATAGAACAATGTCACCTTTTCCTCCCTTGCAGTCTAGTGGAGGAGATAAAGTCAACCATGAGACCAAGTCAACCATGTGACCTTGCAGCCATCCTGGCAGGACTAAAGATATTCTAAAGAGACATTTGTGTTTCCTTGGCTCTCAGATTATTGGAACAATAGTCTCCAAGATATTGGAATTTCCCCTGGAATCTGATGCTGGGAGAAGGGACTGCAGATGGGCCTCCTGAGAGTATGTGTTAGGGAGGCGATAAACTAGTGGGAGGTAGAGAGGGGTGAGCAGGAAGTAGCCAGCCTGGACAGTATCCTAGGGAGCCTGGAGATAGGAAACTAGAAAATAACCGTGGGATTCATCAGCCATCAGCCATGTAAGCAGGTTTCCCTGAATGCTGACTGACCCTGGCACCCAAGGCCTCCCCGGGGATCCATCAGTAGAACAGGGAAATGATTTTCACCAAGCAACCACCCCTCTCTCCCAGCACTGGTTTTTAGGCATATGTGTCTTTATCTAATTTCATTCTCACCAAAGGCTGCAGGATTGGGTGTTATCTGTATTCCCAACTTATGGATAAGGAGACTGAGGCGAAAAAAGTTTACGAGATTTTGCCATAGTCAAAGAACTGGCAAATGCTGGGGCCAAGTCCTGTTTGCTCCTACCCACACAGCTCTACCAGGATGGGTTGTTTGGGTCAGATCCAGATCTGGACACCCTGGAAGGCAGAACCTGACAAAAGAGGATTTGAAACGTGAGAATAAGCCAATTCTGTGGCCAGAACTAAGAAAGCATTGCTAGAGCCTTTTCACAGCAATGATGACCTTTGACCTTCCCTTGAAGGTCAAAGTTGGCTAATAGCAGTACCAGAAAGGATGGAGAGCTGGCTGAATTGAGGGGGAATAAAGCCAGGTGGTGGTGGCACACGCCTTTGATCCCAGCATTCAGGAGTCAGAGACAGGGATATCTCTGTGGGTTCGAGGCCAGCCTGGTCTACAGAGCAAGTTCCAGGACAGGCTCCAAAGCTACAGAGAGAAACCCTTGTCTCAACCCCCGCCCTCCCAAAAAAGAGAATAAGAAAACAATCCTCAGCCTGGCCGTAGTGGTGCACATCTTTAATCCCAGTACTCGGGAGGCAGAGGTAGGTGGATCTCCATGAGTTCAAGGCCAGCCTGGTCTACAAAGGGAGTTCCAGGACAGCCAGAGCCATTACATAGAGAAACCCTGTCTCAGAAAAGAGAAAAAGAAAAGAAAACTATCCTCTTGGGACCTCAGGGGTGTCATGAATTATGAGAGAGACAAGGATTGATGATGGAAGGGTATTGAGCTGGTAGCTAGAGATGAGATAAAGGAGAAACTGAGGGGCTGGGTAACGGGAACACGCGGTTTAGGCGGAGCTGCAGGCCAGGTGCTTGGAGCAGTTAAGGACCTGCAGCCTGCCCTGCTTTCCTTTGTACCAGAATCTTCCTCCTAAAAATGCCGGTGTGAACAACCATTGTTGTCACAAAGTGCTCAAAATGTAATCCAGAATGAGGTAAAAGCTAGGCCAGGGGACCACGGTTATTCAATACCTAGCCACCTCTGGAGGCCCTGCCTCAGGGTGAATTGAGATCAAAGAGGGCCTGAAGACCCCAGAGGAGGAAGCCTGTTCAAACCTCCAGGGATCCTGAGACCCTAGTCAAGAAGGTCTTTGTAATGATGATTAAGCTCCCAATAAGCCCCCTACAGCTCTCAGGCCTCCTTCTCTGGGAGTCAGCCTCAGGCTGACTCCAGAAATGGGGAGGGGAGCAAGGCTGGTGGTAGAGGGTGGGCAGGTTAGGAAAAGCTCCATACCAAATTCAGGCCGGGATGTAATCCTACCCCTTTCCGTACCCCCAGTGCCCACAGATAACACCTGGGTATATGAGGGAGGACTTCAAGGCCCAGCCCCTTGCTTAGGCCTCATTGCTGCCCCACAAACTCTGACAGAGGTTTCTGGATCCAGGTGAAAAAGAACTACAGGCATCCTTAAGAATGACTTCTGGCCAGCGGCGGTGGCGGTGGCGCAGGCCTTAAATCCCAGCACTCAGGAGGCAGAGGAAGGCAGATCTCTGGGAATTTGAGACCAGCCTGGTCTACAGAATGAGTTCCAGGAAAGGCTCCAAAGCTACACAGAGAAACCCTGTCTCAAAAAACAACAAAACAAAACAAAACAAAAATGACTCCTGGGGGCTGGAGAGATGGCTCAGAGGTTAAGAGCACTGACTGCTCTTCCAGAGGTCCTGAGTTCAATTCCCAGCAACCACATGGTGACTCACAGCCATCTGTAATAGATCTGGTGCCCTCTTCTGGCCTGCAGGGAGAACACTGTATACATGATAAATAAATAAAAAACCTTTAAAAAAAAAGACCTCTGACTGAATGTGGTGACAGGCTTTTAGTCCACGCTCAGGAGCAGCAGATCTCTGTGAACTCAAGGCCAGCCTGGTCTCCATAGTGAGTTTCAGGTAAGCCAGGACTACATGGAGAGACCCTGCTTCAAACAAACAAACAAACACTAAATAAATGAGCACTAACGCAAGAAGACCTTTGTACACTACTTGAACACTCAAATACGTGAACTGATACCCCAGTGAAAGGAACCAAAATTGATTGGCAAGAGGGATTTACCCCCCAAGCCGACAACGACTCACGAGTGGCCTGCGCAGAGGCTCTGATTAGTCTCTTGTTGAAGTTCTGTAAGAGTCACAACACGGAATATTACTCAACCAGAAAGAAGGAGCCCATCGGGTCTCTCGAGGAACAGTCGAGGAAACCGGAGACCATTGTTTTAAAGGGAAGTAAGCCAGACTCAGGAAGAGGAGAAGTGTCGCCTTTTTCTCTCGTATGTGGTGTCTCAAAAACTGTTGTTAGAGCTAAAAGGGAGGCTGTTGGGGAGAGGAAGGGCTCAGGCGGGGGAGAATCAGGGCCACACGGTCAAAGCACGCTGCATGTTCCCATGAACGTTCCACAAAGAAAGGCGTCCTTTGCACAATATATGCTAATAAAAATGTGGCCGGGGCGGTGGTGGTGGCGCCCGCCTTTGATCCCAGCACTCGGGAGGCAGAGCCAGGCGGATCTCTGTGAGTTCGAGGCCAACCTGGTCTACAGAGTGAGATGCAGGAAAGGCGCAAAGCTACACAGAAAAATCCTGTCTCGAAAAACAAAAAAAAAAACAAAAAAAAAAGTGAAGAAGAACAGTAGCAACACGACCGTCACCACCGGAGCCTCTACTGGTGCAGTGGCCCCGTGTGGTAGAGGACACCCATCGTCACAGCACCCTGAAAGCTGACACAGGAAGATCAGGAGTTGGAGGACCCACCTGGGCTGCTCAAGGGGACCCTGTCTTCAGGGAATGGTGTGTGGGCGAATGACAGGTAAAGGGGCAATCTCCTGTAATTTCAGGAGGAGCGTCAAGAGTTTGAGGCAAGTCTGGGCCACATGGTGGTTTTACGGTAGCCTCGAAGGCCCACTGAAGGAAAACTCATTCCTCTTGGTCAAGAAAATGGAATTTCTGGTTTACTTGGAGACCTAACATTCCAGTTAGGCTAAGCAATCACCTGATTAAGGGACTACCCTCAGGAAGATAGAGTTTCTGTAAGCCAGGCTAAAGAGATAGGAAGAATAATTATACCTTCAGGGAGGTAATGTACTTTTCCTTCCCAGAAAGCCCAGCCCCGATGAAGTCATTTTCAGAGCCACAGGCAGGCAGAGATCCCTTTCTAAGCAGGCTTTCCCGACACCGGCTTCAGCCTTCCTCTAGGGGCCTCTCTTGACGTGTGGTTGACTTTGGTGCCGCCTTAACTCTGTGGCCCAGCTTTTTCTTTGCCTTCTAATCGCCCTCTGGGCACCTGCTCCAGTTCATGTCTTTCCTGCCCTGGGTTTTTGTTTTAAGCTCTAATAAAATTGTTCTCAAGCTTTTTTTTCTGAGTCCCTTATTAAATTCTTTTTTAAACAAAACCAGAGAAATGACTCAGGGGCTGAGAGCACTTGGTGCTCTCAGAGGACTGGGTTCGAGTCCCAGTGTAGCTCACAAACCCTAGCTCCAGTTCCAGGGGATCTGATACCTTTTCTGGCCTCTTTGGGCACCAGGCATGCACATGATGCCCATATACACATGTAAGCAAAACACTTATGCATATAAAATAAAATAAATAAATCTAAAAAAAATAATTGAAAGGCAAGACCAAGACTCCAAGATCCCCATAAGGAGATCCCAATTTCCAAGGTAACAGGTGAGGTGAAACTTCCAGGTCAGTACCAGCTTTATTCCTCCATGTTTATGACTCAAGTATGTTATATCTGCGGCAACAGGGCCTCACTGTCAAATTCTGGAGGGTAGCCAAGAGCACTGTCAATAGCCTGTACTGTTTGGGGGGTTTATGGGGCTTCACTGGCCAACAGCTCCAAAGGAAGTAACCCACTGGTGACACTAGACATTTTGTTCATCTCTGGTATCTGGTAGGGGCATTGTTGCCTGTTATGAGCCATACAGTCTTGAACAGCTAACTTGTAGAAGGATCTAAACTTCCCATCCTGATGTCTTTGATGACTTGAGACTGTCTTATTCTTTCCTCAGACCTTAATTCAGTCTGGAGTTGAGCAAAAACATGGCTTAATTTCCCTCATATTCTTCCACTCTAAGCAAGACCCTAGATCTTGGAATCAGCAAATACAGTACTGCTAACAGAACCTCTTAATGCTGGAGGATTTCCTTGAACATAGGAACAAAGTCCTCCACTTGCTTTCCAGGCAGTCTGATCCTGGAGATCTATTAAGATAACGGAGGGAAAATCATCATTAGGTCAACCTGTCCTCATCCTGAGACGCAGGTGAATGCCTCAGGATGAGTTATAAAATGCTCGTTTTTCTCAGGATGAGTTATAAAATGCTGGGTTTTCTCAGGATGAGGAGTTATAAAATGCTGGGTTTTCTCCCGACTGTAAGCTCCTTTGAGACTCGCCACACTCCAGAAACAGCCCACGCTTCCATTCTTTCCTATTCAAAAATGTGCCTTAACTTGGCAAAACAGAAATACGAGCTGTTTACTTTTTGAGTGTTGTGTGGCACTATCCTTTGGGAGAGGTGAACCAAACACTCACTTTAGATAGGGAACTGACTACAGAGCAAAGTAAGGATACTAACAAAATCCAACTTGGTGAATCAGTGAGTTTTACTGGGGTTACTTATATGAGTATGGGTGAGGGGTTACTTACAGGAGCAGGGATGGCTTAAATGCAGCTGCTTTTATTACTGAAAGCCAACCCCAGCACTGGTGATAGCTTTGGAAAGCTGGAAGCCTGGAGCTCACTGCATGACTTGCAGGTAGCTTGACAAGTTAGAGTATCTTCTAGAAAGCTCACTGGTTTTTGCTTCTTAGAGGCATCTTGACTGGTGTTCCTCTTCCAAGGAGCTCAGCTGGTCTGTCTCCTCCTAAATCCTTATGTAACCTTAGGGTGGGAGGGGCCATGTGCATCTGGTCAGTTTCAGGGACTTCCTAAGATTTCTGAGTTGTTTTCTTGCTAAGTTGTTTTTGGTTAGTTAGTTAGTTTGTTTGTTTTGAGACAGGGCCTCACTATGTAGCCCTGGCTGTTCTGGAACTTGCTATGTGCACCAGGCTGGCCTCAAATTCACGAACATCTACCTGCCTCTGCTTCCTGAGTGCTGGAGTTAAAGGTGTGCACCACCATAGCTGGTGACATTCTCAGCTTTAAAATGCTTTCCTTTAGGCCAGGTGGTGGTGGCGTATTCCTTTAATCCCAGCACTCGGGAAGCAGAGGCAGATGAATCTCTGTGAGTTTGAGGCCAGCCTGGTCTACAGAGTGAGTTCTAGGACAGGCTCCAAAAGCTATACAGAGAAACCCTGTCTCTAAAATCCAAAACCAAAACCAAAACAAAAAAAAAAAAAAAAAAAAAAAAGCTTTCCTTTAGAATTTCCTGAGTCTTAATATGCCTCCTTAGAATTTACTGGATCTTTCTGGATGGTAGGGGCCTTTAATCCCAGCACTTGGGAGACAGAGGCAGGTGGATCTCTGTGAGTTCAAAGCCAGCCTGGTCTACAGAGCAAGTTCCAGGATAGGCTCCAAAGCAACACATAGAAACCCTGTCTTGAAAAACAAAAGAAAGAAAGAGAGAGAGAGAGAGAGAGAGAGAGAGAGAGAGAGAGAGAGAGAGAGAGAGAGAGAGAGAGAGAGAGAGAGAGAGAAAAGAGAGAGAGAGAGAGAGAGAGAGAGAGAGAGAGAAGGAGAAAGAGTTTCCTGGGTCTTAATGAGCTCCCGAGGAAATCACTATGCATCATTGAATTAAGGTCTCCTGTAGCTCATTCTGTCTTCAAACTCTATGCACCTGAGAGTGCCCTTGAACTCTTTATCATCCTGGTTCTTCCCACGGTGTGCTGGATTGCAGGTACATACTATCTCCTCTGTCTCACACCCCTGTTCTTGGTTCTGAGTCTGAGCCTTTAAAGGCTGAGCCATCTCTCCAGTCCATACACCCTTATTTTTAATAGTAAAAGTTGGAAACAGCTTTTTTTTTTTTTTTTTTTTTTTTTTTTTTTGGTTTTTCGAGACAGGGTTTCTCTGTGTAGCTTTGCGCCTTTCCTGGAACTCACTTTGGAGACCAGCTGGCCTCGAACTCACAGAGATCCACCTGCCTCTGCCTCCCGAGTGCTGGGATTAAAGGCGTGCGCCACCACCGCCCGGCGGAAACAGCTTTTTTAAAACGTATTTTATTTTTATGTATACATCTCTCTGGGGGAAGAGTGTGTGTACATGAGTGAAGTCAGAGGTGTTGGGTCCCCTGGGGCTGGAGTCACAGGTAATTGGGATTCTGACGTGGGTGCTGGGAACCAAACTCTGGTCCTCTGTAAGAGTGGTGTGTACTCAACCATTGAGCAATCTCTCCAGCACTAGGAAACAGCTTTTAGAATATCTCCCCAAAGAGAATCAGTTAAATACATGTTATTTACTTTTTTGAACTTACATTTGTGTAAGTATGTGCCTGTATGTATGCCTGTGCATGGGAGTGGAGGTCACGGATAACTTGGGAGTAGGTTCTCTCCTTCCTCCATGTAATCTCAGGGATCCAACTCAGGTCAGCAGGCTTGGGGGCAAGCACCATACCCGCTGAGCTGTCGACAGCTCCCACATCGCTTTGCATGTACAAGAACGTTATCATTGAGAAAAAATAAAAATCTGACCTGGAGGCATTCTTGTGCCTCTTTCATCCCATTTCACAAAGACCTGGGCCTACAGAATGTCCCCCCTCATTCAGAACCTCTAACATATAGAGTCTGGGTGACTGGCTACAATTTTCTTTTCGGGGTCCACGAGGAGAGGTGATCAACTTTGCCATTTGCTGTGTCCTTGTCCAAAAAAAAAAAAATCCTTTTCATATTTTCTTCTTCTCCACGACATGTTTCCTAAGGCTAACATGCTGGTGGCTGCAAAAAGAGCATTCGAGTCATGCCCAGCTGGGGTCTTGGTTGGGATGGCCCGTCTCGAGGCTCCCTGTGCAAGCTCTGGGACCCTCTTTTTCCGGCTGGTGGCCAGGATGGGGTATTAATACCGCCCCCAAATGAAGAGATGTGTGACCTTGGAAAAGTCCCTTCCCCTTTCAGCAAAGTAGCAGTGGGATCAGGTACTTCCTTCTGACGCCGACGGCGACTAAACAATGTGGCAAACACGTGGCTTTAAGCATTTACCGATCTTCGAAGCCCCACGCGCCCATAGGGTACCAGGGGCCGACTTGGGGGGCCTTTGGCGGAGGAGCATCTAGAACCCGCGCCCAAACTCTCGCGAGATCTCCGCTCGGTGCCTCGCGACGTCATCCCCTCCGCGGCCGCGGCTGCGCCGGCGCCGGCACGTAAGGTACTCGCAGGGGCGGCCCGTATCCCTCCGCCGCCGGCCCGGCCCGGCCCGGCCCTCCCTCCCTCCCTCCCAGGCCCGCCAATCCCGGAGCCTCCCGACCTGCCCCTCGGCCTGGGCCCACCCCGCGCTCTGGCGGCCCCACCCCGGCGGCGCCGCCCGCCCGCCCGCCTGCCCGCCCGCCCGCGCGTCCCTTAGTCCACCTGCACCAGGCAGGGAAGCAGGCTTCCCCGGCTCCGCGACCGTGAGGCGCTCGGCGAGCCCGGAGCTTGGGGGGCTCTTCCTCCCCGGCGGAGGGATCCACGGCGGCCGAGGAGGCGGCGCTGAGCCTACGGGGAAGAGGCAGCTACGGCGGCGGTGGCTGTGGCAGCAGCGCATAAAGGGGGCCGCCGTCGGGTGATGCGGTGACCGCTGCGGCAGGCCCAGAAGCTGAGCGGGCCTCGGCCCTCAGCTCGTCGGATCCGCGCCTCGGAGCTCCCGGTCTTCTCGGGCCGACTCGCGGCCGCTCGGGCGGTCTCAGGCCCCCCCCTCGCCCCTTTCCCCGTCCCTCCCCCGTCCCCGTCCCCGCCCCGGGGGCCCGTCGCCACCGTTTCCCACCATGGCTCTGAAGAGAATCCACAAGGTAAGCGGCCGCGGCGTTGCTGTGGGAATGGGCCGCGGGGCGAGCCCGCTGAGTGGGCTGCGGCCTGCACTGCCCGCGGTCGCCTCCCCTGGGCTCGCGGCGGCGTCTGGTTCCCGCTGCCGGCGCCGGGCCCCACGGGGCGGCCTTCACACCCCACTCCCAGAGATGGCGCCCGCGAAGGCCGGAGCGCGGGGGGGACCTTGCTTAGGCCGAAGTTGCTCTGGTCCTCGCGGTCTCCCTCCCCGACGCCTTTCCAGGCCGCCTTCCAGCCCGGGACTCGCTGCTCTCTAGGGCTATTGTCCGGCCGCGAAGGGGACTTGGGACGGCGCGGGGAGGGGCGGTGGGGGGGGGGAGCGGCCGGGGCGTTGGGCGGCCCCTGTGATCTGAGGTCGCTAGGGCTGCTTGTCCCATCTCTGTCCCCCTACTCTGGCGCCCGTCACTGAGCTGCCTGAGCTCGAGGACCGAGACAGGCCGGCCAAGGGGGCCCGTTTGCCCGATCCACGACTGGTTTCTTGATTGAGCTCACTGAACTCGTGGGCACTTAAGGCCGCCTTACTGGTGTAGAAAGTGGAGTCGACAGTCAGAGGGAAGAAAATGCAACTCCGGGGGAAGGAGGGGATTCAGTGGAGAAGCGTTTTATTCCTGGGGGTTGCCGTATGTCGTCGGAAATTAACCCTCCCGTTTTGCAGGATTGGATCTAGTGGAACAAAACTGTGTTTACCTGGTAGGGTAGAAGCCAGTCAGTTCAGAAAACCGAACGTTGAAAACCGCCTTTCACAGACTTATCCCAAAATGATTTTAACGCTACAATTAGATGATATATTCGTCAAGACTCCTAATTTGGAAGGGATTTTACCCAATTTTTGGTGAGAAATAATTTCTTAGTTCTTTTAAGTGAAAGGTTATCCATTTAGTTATTGATAAGATTTGACACTATAAGAAGAGCATAGGCTTAGCTTAAACTTTAGGGTTGTTTTTTTTTTTTTCTCCCTAATATTAACCTCTTAGAGTCACTACTATTTTTTCCTTGGACGTAAGAAGTCATCCACTATGAGTTTTGTTTGGTGTTTTATTTGGCTCCTCAGATGGGCCATAGTAAGTCTTTACCTTCTTAGTAAGTGGTAGGACCTGGGATTACCTCTAAGGGCTGATGGAATGGAGCTACGAAGAAGAGTGGAGAACGAAGTCAAATGCAGATTGAAAGATGGAACACCACAGTTCAGCAGTTGGTCCTCATTTTATTCCTTAAGACTTGGAATGTGGAATTAATTCCATTCCCTACTGCGAATTAGCACCTTACTAACTTTTGTTTTCTTTGATTTTAAGAAATCAAAGGATAGGCTTTAGCAGTAAGTCTTGTACTAAAATGAAGCAGGGTCTTTGTTAAAAGAAGTATGAACTTTAGGTAAAGATCTCTTGAAAAACCATGTAAGGGATAAACATCCAGGTAATGTGTATGTATTTCTTTTTTGTTGTTGTTGGTCGTGTCTCTTTCCCCCCCCCACCCCCCCAGGGTTTCTCTGTGTAATAGCCCAGGTTGTCCTGGAACTCTTCTTTGTAGACCAAGCTGGCCTCGAAATCACAGAGGTCCACCTGCCTCCTGAGTGCTGGGATTAAAGGTAAGCGCCACCGCTGCCCAGCTTGTTTCTAATTGTAAGACTTTAGCAGTCTTCCAAAGTCTAATGGGAAGCTATCAATTTGAAATGCTGTTTGAGTTATACCTATATAAGATTGTCCCCTAAAGCTGGGAGAGAAAGTGAGTTTGATGTGTGATAATTTACAGAGATACTTAAATATTTATTTATTTATTTTTCCTCAAGACAGGGTTTCTCTGTGTAGTTTTGGTGCCTGTCCTGGATCTCACTCTGTAGACCAGGCTGGCCTCGAACTCACAGAGATCCGCCTGGCTCTGCCTCCCGAGTGCTGGGATTAAAGGCGTGCGCCACCACCGTCTGGCTTATTTTAATTTTTTTTTAAGGTAGGGTCTTCTAGCTCTGTTGCTTGCAACTTACTATGGTGTAGACCAGGCTGACCTCAAACTCCAAGATCCATCTGCCTCTGCCTTCAGTGTGCTGATATTAAACCAGCGAGTTAATAGCTTTTAGTGTTTGTATTAATATCTGTGCCATAGAGACTTATTCAGAGAGGGAGATAACACTGACTCAAAACATTCATTTAAATCTTAGAATAATGTTTGCCCCCAGCAATATCGTTTCTGTTGCTGTTTTTTGAGATAGGCTGTCACTGTGTAGTTCAGGCTGGGATTGATCCCAAGTACTGGGATTCAGGCATATACCACCACACCTGCCTTCACTAAGTCTTTTTATACAGTACTAGGGATTGAATCCAGGATCTTAAGTATGCTAAGGCAAACACTCTACCATTGAAGTATATTGCCAGTTCTT